AGGCCGTGGACACTCCAACTCTGAACACTCCAAATTAGGACGAATGAATACATTGCTACTCTTTGTTTTTTAAAGTGTTTTACGGCGCTCGCAACTGCATAAGGTCATATGAGAGCGCGGGACACACCTAATATTTTCAGTTGGTAGGAAATTTTGAATTTTGCCCGGGTGGCGGCCGAAGCCTACTCTTATCGATTTTAGACCACCAAGGGATCTTTAACGTGCGCAACTTGCACACGGGCCCTCTAAGATTTTTTGCCCTTGTCCGAGAAGGCTAGGTGTAGATCTTTCCTTCCAGAAGATCAGGGGTGTGGCAGAAAGACAGCAGTAAAGAGGAGCTAAGGAGTAGCAGTAGAAAGGCTGCAGAAAGAGTAAGGAGCCCAGAGGAGGGGGCAAAGGAGGTGAGGGGGTATGGGCAGAAAGTGGAAATGAAAGCAGACAACAGAACATTGCTAGAGAGCAGGAAAGGGGGTGAAAGGAGACAATTTAAAAGAAAAATTTTTTTCGGTCACTACCCGGATTTGAACCCGGGACCTTTTGAATGAGAGGCCCACATCTTAACCTCTAGGCCAGGAGAGCCCCCATATCTAAGTATTGAGAAACGTGACGTCAAAGATTTTGAGTTTCGCGACATGCCAAGCTTGTTCGAATGCAATTCTTTGAATAACTTGATAACGACTCCGAATTATTTTACAGTGTTGATAGAGCAGATAGATCATAATTTAGTTTCTGACCTAAATGTCATAGTAACTCAAAACGGACAAACTTGTCAGACAGAGCTTTGTAATTCTGAGGTAGCCAAATGTATTTCTAGAGAAGAAAAGTGGGTGGTTGGCGGGTGCTCTGATGTGGTTTGCTTCTTCTTTTCTATGAAACATCTATCGTCCTTATCACCCCTTCTTCTGTTTGTTACTCTCTTGTATAACACCTCTAATCTTCTGGCGCTCATATGTACTTATGCAGTTGCGAGCGCCGCAAAACCTCTACTTAAAAAAAAAGAAAAGAAAATGTTTTCGTCGCCAGCAGATTTCGAACCCGTCACCTTTCGACTGAGAAGAGAACATGTATCCCAGCATTACCAGACCCCTTTACTTATTTCCTATTCATGACACATACAAACAAAATTAGGCGTTTCATTTGCTAATGTAAAAAGGCGGTTCGAATAAAGAATTCTAAGCCGAGGAGCAACTCAATTAAGATTATACTACAAAATCGTCTGGATAACGATAATAAAAAGGATAAGCTAATCCTATAAATTTATTTTTCTTTTTCTCTTTATCCGTCATTAATTTGCATTCTTTGGCCTCTATTTCTGTCTCTCTCTTTCTCTTTTTTCTCTCTCTTTCTCTCTTTTTCTTTCTCTTTTTCCCTATCTTTCTCTCTCTCTCAATCTATCTCTATCTCTCTCCCCCCTCTCTTTCACTCACACATTCCTTCTCTGTCGTCTTTATACATGCATATCTAGTTAACTATAAATCAATCACTCAGTCACTCACTCACTCAATTACTCAATCTGTCTATCTATCTATCTATCTATCTATCTATCTATCTATCTATCTATCTATCTATCTATATATCTGTCTGTACGTCTATCTATCCATCTATCTATCTATCTATCTATTTATCTATCTATCTATCTATCTATCTATCTATCTATCTATCTATCTATCTATCTATCTATCTATCTGTCTATCAATCTATCTATCTATCAGTCTGTCTGTCTGTCTATCTATTTATCTATCTATCTATCTCGTTCCCTTTCTGTCTTTTTATCTGTCTATCTGTCTGTCTGTCTCTTTGTCTCATTTTCTCCCTTTCTAACACACAACTTGGCATGAAACCGATTTTCAAAGTGTCCCCTCGCTGCATTATATCTCTCCCTTCAGCGCCCACTGCTCAATCGCGTACATGGACGACATTCGTCTACCGCTGATACAAAAAACGATAAGATTCGGATATCTAGGTATTGTTTACATTAAAGCCCTCGCTCGTTTATGAATATTCACGCAAACTTAACCAATCGATTCAACCTTTCGGACACCCTTTTCCTTTCCCTCCCTTGTTATTGTACTCCCTTATCTTCTCCTATTGCCGCGTTTTCCCAGTAGATCAGTTAGCACCGTGGTATTTTCTTGACAATATCATCAGATAAAAACCCCGGACATTCTGGTTATTGTCAGAAAGTAAATGAATATTCAAAAGCGTGTAACGGGAGTTATGCGACGTGTGTAAGTGCTGCCAAAGAGGCATCTTCACGACGACAAGACGTCATTCACACCATCCGGGTGAAATACTAACCAGGCGATGTGGCCGGGGCCATCCATCGATCGTAGATTTATGTATGTACTTAATTCCAGAGCTGCTCCAACGAGCGAGCGAACCCAGAAACCTTGGAGCGTAGAGAAAATTACCCTCGTTCTTCGTGCCCATAGAGAAGGTCGTGATGATCTAGAACCTAGATTCCCTTTCATTGACTGCACTGTCACGCCGAGGGATAGCCTCTGTCCCCCTTTGTTGTTTACTGATTGCCGTTTTAAAATTGCGGAACGGAAATCCCAGCTTCGTGGATATTTTCCTTGCCCGCTAGACGCCCATTTCAGTTCTCTACATTTGCCCGATTCCCCTGACAATATATTTTTCTAATTCCCACATTTCCTCAGGCCACTAGAACACATCTTTTTCCCGCCTTTTCTTTTTCATTTTCATTCGCACATTCCTCCTAACCCTAATTATTACAGTTTTCATATATTCCTCCTCCTTCTCCTCCTCCTCGCCCTCCTTCTCCTCCTCCTCCTCCTCCTCCTCCTCCTCC